CCATTCCACATTATTACAAATTACTTCATTTCTGGATTTGATTTCTTTGTATGTATGGATCACTTGGGTTGTTTCCAACATCTGGTGAAAATTTCATGTCATTGGCACCTCTAGTAATATATTTACTGAGAAAAATGGTGACGTGTTCAATACTTATTTTACCCGCTGTATATAAGAACTGTATTTGCTGTGGTAGTGGCTGAGAGTCATCCCCAACATGGAGGCTTATTGGAAAGTTTCTGTGCAATAAATAGAAACAGCTTTTTTTAAAGGGTTTGATTTTTCCATTTATTTTAAACAGTTTTTTTTCATCACACTTTTCTTTAAAACCAAACCTTGTATCTGTAATGGACTCATTGAGATCACGTGCACAGCAGATAAGAGGATTTTTACAGTCTTTTTAATTGGATAGATTTGCACCAGTATAGAACGCTGCCACAGACAGATCAGGGCCACACACAGCACTTGCAGCTGTCGTCAAAGACGGATCCGGTTCCACAGTAGCGAATATGTGTGATACCAGCAGAACACATGTAGAAACTGGTCCTGTCATCAGGGTTGGCGTACAGGCCATCAGGTTTGCCGTTGCAGAAGCCGGGTCCTGGAGCGTGTGTGGTGGTGGTGGTGGTGGTGGGCGAGGTGGTGCTGACTCCAGGTTTGGGGGTGGTGGTTGAGGGCGTCGGTGGACGCACTGAATGATAGAGAAGAGGCATTATAAACACGTTTACCTAAAGAGGTTACTGACAGCAATCATTAATTCATCACTCAGACTTTCATTTTAAAGTTAGCTGATTTTCAGTGAGACTAAACCTAAAACCTTTGCTTTTATTAAACATTTTGTTATTTTACAGAAAACACTTCTTTTCCTGTTTCTAGTTTATTTGGTACTTTTTTTGGCTCTATTTGGTTAATTGGGTTGTGACTTGAAGTAAGTCGCTTTTATACTTCTGATTTTCAAATAATCCCCATAAAATACACTGAGCTTACTAAGAAACAYGTTTTAATCTATATTGGGATACTTGCTATATTTTTGTCTTCTTGTACTAATTTTAGCTTTAGCAACTGCCATGTTAATTAGAATTTTTAGCTACGATTTTGCTAATTGTTCTTTTACCTACAGTTTTACTAAATCTTTAATTCTTTTGTTTTAACTTTTAATTATGTTTTGCTGCTGATCATGCTAATTTTTTTATCTGTTCTTCTTATCACTTTTAACAAATATAAAAATTATGTCATAAACATCAAAATGTTTTTATACTTCAAAATTTTTAAGATTTAACATAATTTTTACACAGCAAGTGTTTGTTTGAGGCTTACTTTTTAGTTTGCATTTTATATCTGCCTGTCATTAAATCAACAGAGAGTGAGAGATGCATGTGTGTTTTCCATGATGACCACAATGAGCCAATGGCAGCAACTTCAACATTTCTTTCTATCTTGGTTCACTTTACTCATTTTATGCAGTTTTAGACATTTTTCTTAGCTTAGTTATTACGTATCCATGTGGGAATTTTAGGCACTAAAATGTTCCTTTTAGAAATGTTCTAGTTGTGGTTAACAAGATTAAAAAAACTTATAAAATCAAGATAACATAAAGATTTATTAGCTCTTCTGTGACAGAGTTTCAACCCTGGTCACCAAACATGTGATCATTTGCGTCTGAACACGGACATACCAACACCGAGGAGTTTGTTCAGGTGAGCCAGCAGAGGGTGGGAGCCTTCGCCACAGAATTTTCCTGCAAAGTCGTCTAAATCAAGCGCCCACACAAAGGCGCCTCCAAACTTCTGCTCCTGCAGGTAGCGAACCTGTTCCAAAACAAATCCCAACAAACTCTTGCATTTTTCAAGCACATACAGTAAGTTATGTAAGTTATCAGTGTTATTTTAGAGTTTGGCCTACCTTTATTTCATAGCTTTCCTTGGTGTCAAAACCCACCCACTCATTGTTTTTGGTTGCATAGGGGACTTTCTGGTCTGGAATCCACTGAATGGTGGTGTCTTTTATGAAGGAGCAGATCTGTTTCAAAGAAGTAATGGTCACGTTTGTGATCCTTTTCCATACATTTTCAGCAGCACTCTGTATTTTCTGCAGATCATTACCTCATAGTAGGCCCAGAACCCAGCTTCACGTGTGTATGGTCCAGCTGATGCAGGGCCACTAGCCGGGGCACCAACACTCGTGTTTGTTGTAGTCAGACGGAAGGTACGACCGTAAGAAGCAAATCCCATCCTCAGCTTCTCCACRGGGACGCCATTGTCTCTCCAGTACTTCATGGCAAAATCCTATAAAAGTTCATGAGGTGGAGTTGGTGAAGCAGTACTTTATACAAACCTGAAGCCAGCACTACTATATATATTATATTTACAACATTTTCTTAATAATCCCAAGAGTTACTCACAGTGTTGAAATAGATAAGGTCACCATAGTCCATGGATCCACGGTACAGAGGACTGTTGTGGCCAGTGAACTGCTCCCAGGTGCCATGGAAGTCGTAGGTCATCACATTAATAAAGTCGAGTTCCCTGAAAACAAATTCAAGGAGGGTCATTAAGTCATCGGACAGGACCCCCTGGTTTTCTGATGAGGAGCAACTCCTGAYAGACACTCACTTTCCAATCTCAGCAATCTCATATCCAGCATCAATGGTTCCTTTCCCAGCAGACACTGCAGCAGTCAGCATGAGCTGAGGATTGCCCGTGGATTTGGCCTCAGCTGCGTAGGCTTGAACAAGTTCCTGCAGAGTTCACCACAAACAAGCAAAGGACTGAAGTTAGGACAGTTCAGAGCACAAAGTCATCATTGTTTGAAGTAAAAGTTGAAGCAAAGAACTGGACCCACCCTGCAGAGCAAAGTGAACTTCTGCTTGTCTTCTGGGGGACTTCCACGAGAACCAGGGTACTCCCAGTCCAGATCCAGTCCATCAAATCCATGAGTTCTCAGGAATTTGATAGAAGACTGAATGAACTTCTGACGGTTTGCAGCATTGGACACCATGATGGAGAACCTGCAGAACGTTTTGTTGTGAGACTTTTAAGGCAAAGCTTCACGAGGGTCTTTGGTCTTTCATGGATACTTATTCTGTATTTGACTCGAAATGTTTCTCAACCGTGTCGTTTATTATCTGATATCTTAAAAATCTTAAGTATCAACCAAAAACTCATTCTTACAATTAAAACTTTAAAAATGTCAAAACTGTTAATCTGATAACTGGGTTTATCCAGAGGTCATGCTCCTGTGGTTTGACTTGCTACATACTGTGTTGAGCCAAAGTTCCATCCACCAACAGCCAGCAGCGTCTTCAGATGAGGATTCCTGCAAACAGAAAGTCAGAACCATGTTACATTTCCTCTGTAAGCTGCTTAGCGTGATGTACTGGAACAATCTGGAAACAGTAGACTTTTAGCTCCAAATGCACACAATCTAAGTGTAATGTTTGTCATAAGATAYGGGATGAAGCCTTCTTACTTGGTCTTTAGATCATTGAAAGCCTTGTAGAGGACGTCGTCGTTCCACTCGTAGGTAACCAGCTCATTGTTATGGTTAATGATGGAAAAGGCATAGATGAGAGTGGTGCACAGGAAGGGGTCAACGTCCTTCGGCAAGTATTTGCCGTCACCAGGCCTGTACTGGGACCAGTTGGTGAAGTAGCACTCCATCCTGGTGGCCGAGCCTGAGCAGGAACACAATGTTCAAGTTAGACTACATGAACACCTGAACCATGGTGGCTGATGAGAAGCTATTTCAACTTACCCAGGTGGAATAAAACCAGGCATAAACCTTCAAAAACAAGAAGGAAAGAAATAAAAATCAAGATTCCACAATATAGAATTAACTTTGCTTAGGAAGATAAAAGATGTACAAARATATTAAAATACCTGCTAGGACTGCGAACTTTGTCATGTTGACTTTGTTTGTCACAACTTCACTGGACGTCTACAAGAGAAAAGGTAAGTCTGTGAGTGAAGTGACACAAGAAGACTCCAGCTCACACATTTATTATTACAGGTAATCAATAAAAAGAAAAGTTTCCCTTCATCTCACCTTGGGACCGGATGAAAGATCCAAACGGCAGCAGAGAGTAGGGTCTTTTATACACTGGTGTCAGGAGATGTAAAGAGGACTGGGACAATAAATGTAATGATTATTAGACTATGTGAAGATAAGATCTGACTGAGCTTCGTGTGGAGAATAATTTACACATCATTGGCCAAGGTGTAAATAAGATTACCTAACACATCCCTTATTATCAGATCAATTATCAGTTAAAACGACCTTAGACCAACGTGGATAAGCAAAATATTGTTCTGTTGTCATGTGAACTTGTCATAAGCAAACAGTTTGCCAAGACAAAGATCTTTTTTAATCAATGAAAAAAAATAACCCTGAAAAATCCACAGTTAGCTTTAAAGATTATTCATTCTGATTAAAACAAATAGATGAGGTTTGGATTTTTTTTGTCGCTATTTAAAAAAAAACTTCAATCCAGAAAAAAGAAAGAAAAAGTAGAGCATGTACTTTTACTGCTTTATTTAAGGTTAAATCACGGTCATTGTTAAAAATTAACACATGCTGTAACTAGACTAACAGAACCAAATGAGGTCATTCCATGTATCTGTCTGTGGTGCTCGCTCTGTCGGTCATTTTGTTGTTGTTTTTATTATTTTGTATTTGTTTTAAAATATGTTTGAATGGGGAGCCAAGCATCTTTAATGACTTTCATTATTTACCCTGGAACAACATATGTAACAGAGAACAAATGGATCTTTTTATTTGATTGTTTRTTTGGGACCATGTTCAAAAAGATAACTAAATAAACTCAGATTGAATAAAACTGTACTGCACCAGATAAGGATGATCAAATAATCTCAAATGTAGTCCCCGTGCCAGGTAAGAAAAGATACTAACTACACAGAAGATACTACATACTGTATAAAACATTGCACGAAATATTAAATCAGTAAGTTGTGAAAGTATTCAASCCTGTCTTTTTCTGTATTTCATTGCCTTACAGCCAGAGTGTCAAACTTATTTTCACCGAGGGCCAAATGAGTTATGGTAACCCTCAAAGGGCCAGGTGTAAATAACTTTAACCTTTCATGTTTAAACCTAAGATTACCATTCTATTGCAAGCCTGGCATGTTGATGGTATGCACTGATCTTCTAGAATCTGCTATAAAAATGCATTTTATGAGTAATTTCCATATTGCATTTGACTGCAATTGACATTCTTTTCTTCCATTTACAAAATGAATGCAACAAAGCTTTATAGTTTCTTACAAAAGGAAACCAAACTAATGTTTCCTGTAGGCAGTGAGGATGAATTATGATTTAGTGATGAAGAAAACAAGTAGCTTGCAACCCACCAAGCTAAAGATGAAAGCAAGACTGATGATGATGGAGTCAGCCAGAATGACAAAGACTATGTGCCAGAGAATGAGGACAGTAGAGGACAGTGGAGACAGCGAGGACAAGACAAACAGTGGAGACAGTGAGGTTGTGGGTACAGTTACAGTTCACTGTGGGTGAAAGTGCAGCTATTATTTATGTGCTGCTGTCATGATCTGCGTTTTTGTCTTTATTTTCTTAGTGTWTTTCTGTTCCCCTGTGTTTTCCTCTCCCTGCTGTTTTACTTCCAGCCCTGYCCACACACACCTGATTCCTCTCGTGTCTCCCCAAGTGTTTCTCTTTTACTCTTAATTTGTTTGCTTTATATTCTGGGTCTTGTCATTTGTGTCTTGTCGGATCATTGCGCTCTGTACCCGTGCTGTGTTTCGTCCCATGTTCAGTCCTCCTTGTGCCTGTTTCTCCGTGAGAAGCCTGTAAGTCTTTTGAGCTGCATCGACAGCCTTTTTGTTTATTAATAAAACTTTTTTGTTATCTTTTTGAACCTCTCTTGTGCCCTGGGTCTTTTGGGCACCAATCCTGTCATAATGATCCGACCAAATGCCCAGCCTGCAAGGAGAGGTTTGTCTGGTCTGCCTCTCTATGAGGCAGATAGTTTTGTTTCTCCACCCGGACCCTACACAACCGGCTCTGTTTGAGGAGCCGGTCCCAACCCTGCCTTCATGGGAGGAAGAGAGGACACACCCCCTGATCAGCGGCTCGCTGACCATCCTCCAGTGGTCCTCCGATCTCCCTTCCAGACTCCTGCTCTGCCGGCAAATTGAGAGTGTTCTGGTGGCTCGCCCAAATCTGCTGTTCTTGCCTGGCCATCAGCAGCTCCTCTGCTTCACTCGGAGGGTTCTGGCTGAGCAACTCATCACCCACCCTTCCTCCCCTCTTGTTGTGTCTGCTGCTGGGTCTGCTGCTGGGTCTGCTGGGTCATCTGAGTCTGCTGGGTCATCTGAGTCTGCTGGGTCACCTGAGTCTGCTGGGTCTTCTGAATCTGTTCCTGAGTTTCCTGAGTTGTTGGTCCCGATTCCTGAGTTGTTGGTCCCAGTTCCACAATTGGTGGTCCCAGATACACAATCGGTGGTCCCAGTTCCTGAGTTGGCAGTACCAGTTCCACAGTTGGTGGTCACGGAGACGCTGGTCTCGGTGGTGGTGCCTGGGTCGGTGGTTCCACAGTCGGTGGTTCCGGTGGTCCAGGTGGTCCCTGAGTCGATGGTTCCAGAGTTGGTGGCCCCGGTGGTGGTTCCAGAGTCGATGACCCCGGTGGTGGTTCCAGAGCTGGTGGTCCCGGTGGTGGTTCCAGAGTCGGCGGTCCCGGTGGTGGTTCCAGAGTCGGTGGTCCCGGTGGTGGTCCCAGAGTCGGCGTTCCTTGAGGTTCGTGGGTCGGCTGCCTGCCCCTACACATCATCTGAGTCAGTTGCCATTGCCTCCTCATTGCCTGGGTCGTCGTCCATCGCCTTCTCATCGTCTGGGTCATCGTCCATCGCCTTCTCATCGTCTGGGTCGTCGTCCATCACCTCCTCATCGCCTGGGTCGTCATCCATTGCTTCCTCATCGCCTGAGTCGTCGTCCATCGTCTCCTCATCACCTGGGTCATTGTCCATTGCCTCCTCATCGCCAGGKTCATCGCCTCCTCATCGCCTGGGTCATCGTCCGTCACCTCCTCATCGCGTGGGTCGTCACCCATCGCCTCCTCATTGCCTCTGTCACCTGCGTTTGCTGACGCTCTGGCTCCGGCAACCTCCACTAGCTCTTTGTCTGCTCCCATTTCCTGCCTTGGCTCTTGGTCTGCTCCCATCTCCTCCCTCGGCGCTTCGTCTGCTCCCATCTCCTCTCTTGGCTCCTTGTCTGCTCCCGCCTCCTCCCGTGGTTCAACGTCTGCTCCCGCCTCCTCCCGTGGCTCAAGTTCTGCCGCTGTTCCTGCGGATCCTTGCTTTGGATGGTCTCTTGGCCGTCCTCCAGGCCTTGTGCTTCGTGTGGGGTGGTCTCCTGGCCGTCCCCCTGAACTTTGTGTATGTTTGTTTTGAGTTTCCCTGTCTTGTGTTTGTGATTCCCTGAGTCCTGTACATCTCCCTTTTTTGATGTCGGGAGCCGTCGTTGGGTGGGGGATACTGTCATGATCTGCGTTTTTGTCTTTATTTTCTTAGTGTTTTTCTGTTCCCCTGTGTTTTCCTCTCCCTGCTGTTTTACTTCCAGCTCCGCCCACGCACACCTGATTCCTCTCATGTCTCCCTAGGTGTTTCTCTTTTACTCTTAATTTGTTAGCTTTACATTCTAGGTCTTGTCATTTGTGTCTTGTCGGATCATTGTGCTCTGTAGCCGTGCTGTGTTTCGTCCCATGTTCAGTCCTCCTTGTGCCTGTTTCTCAGTGARAAGCCTGTAAGTCTTTTGAGCTGCATTGACAGCCTTTTTGTTTATTTATTAATAAAACCTTTTTGTTATCTTTTTGAACCTCTCCTGTGCCCTGGGTCTTTTTGGCACCAATCCTGTCAGCTGCATTAAACTGGCAGGTTCATAAAATGCCAATACAATACAGTAGCTAGGAAGAGGAGCAGAAAGACCATTGCACCAGTTCCACCAGCAGCTATGTATTCACTGGTCACTGGCCTGGTTGAATGGCAAAAAGAGGCCGGTGCAAATACTCAGGCTGTACGGGTACTGTCAGAGTGCAGTGCAGTGTGAGAACTATCTGTGTCTCACAGCTGAGAGGAAMTGCTTCATCAGTTTCCTCGAGCAGTAAGGCAAAGGCAGCAGCATCAAGACACCCAGATCAAATGAAAATAATTATTCAAATGAAAAATTCCAATGAAATGTTGAAAAATACATATTTTAGTTGTTTTTGAAATTTCAAATGAGTTGCACTAACTGTTAATGCTATTGGGGACTTTTAGGACTATAATCTGAGTTGTTAAAGATTTTCACAATAATAAACCAAATTCTCTTGTTTTGGGGCAGCTGTGGCGGAATGGTTAGGGGAGTCATCCTGGAACTGGAAWGTCGCCGGTTCGATCCCCCATTCAGCTGTTTCAGCCATTGTATTCTTGGGCAAGACACTTACCCCGCCTTGCCTGATGGTGGTCAGAGGGTCCGGTGGCACTGGTGCATGGCAGCCCCACTTCAGTCAGTGTGCCCCAGGGCAGCTGTGGCTACAWTGTAGTTTGCCATCATCAGTGTGTGAATGGGTGAATGTAAAGTGCTTTGGGGTCCGGAGGGACTTGATAAAGCGCTCTACCACTTATTTTCAATAATTTCCACTATCGTRCAGTGTTACCAACGTCAACAAAAAATAAAAACAATAATATTTTAAAAACATGTCTCTTGATCATGTCTGTCAAAAAAACACCCCATTTTTTTACTGGCCTGAAAATGTCACGTTCCTCGTAAGTGGAAAGATCCCACTTCCCAGTACAACTGGGGTGCAGCAAAAGTAGCTGGCAAAAATGCAGGTTATTGTTGATTTTACTGGCTGCTGTCTTCTTTTGAGCCCTGTGCAGCTCCACCTAGTGATGGGATGCCGTCATAAAAACATCAAGGTGATAAAATCTCAAAGAAGTTTTTATAAAA